AAAAAAAGCGCTTTGTACTAAAATTTATAGGGATCTTCGCCGTTACAAATTTCTGGCGGGTTTATCCATCAGTCAGACGCTGGTAATGTTGCTCCTGACAGAGTTGATACACCAAATCCCAGTGCTTATGCTATGGAGCCTACAACATTTGTTGTTCATGCTTATGGACTTTCAAGGCCTGGACGAATCGTTTCAGTTACAATGTTGCAACAGTACAACGTAAATTTTTCCTTGATCAATAAAAACATATGAGAAAATTAAGTTTGTTTTTCCCAGTGCGAAAAAGTGAATATTATGATTTTTCTGAAATTTTAAACTTAAAATACTTGTGTCTTTCAAATGCAACTTCTTTCAGAGCGTGGCACGACCACAGATTCTGTTAAAACGTTATGGATGTGCATATGAATACTTTGTTGAGACGTTTTTCTGCCGGAATAAAAACATCAAGTACATCTTTCGTATAGATGGTATAGATTTCGGCGGGAATCAGTTTAGACGCTACAGTTCTTTCTCATGCGTAGGTACAATGCTTATAAAATTTTTAATCACAGGAGTGACCTTTTTTAGAGTAGAACTAATAAAATTATAACTGTATTATCTCTTTGGTCAACTACGGTACCAATAGTTCTGAAATCTTCAATAGCAACACTTGAACAACTAATTTTTTTTTTGTCTTTAAATCTTTATCAGTTTCTATATACATTTTTTCCTCAGTGCTTTAGAACAAGCTTTTTTGTTAAATTCTAATTTAGAACCTCCACCAACTTCCGCCCCTCCAACAACTACTCCCGACCCAGGACCGAGATCGTGCAGAAATGGTGGATATCTGCTTTCCAATAAAGATAATACGACGTCATGTTACTGCATGGGGTACTTCACTGGGCGTGACTGTGGATCCAACTTGTGCTTCAACGGCGGAACTCGAATGAATGGCTTGACGTGTATGTGTCCAGAAGGCTTTTCAGGCGACCATTGTGAGACCGGTATGAATTTATGCGGAGCAGAAGATTAAGTGTGTTTTGCTGATATTATGTGATGCTCTAAATGGATGTTTTTACTTCTATTCAAGTTGTCTGCCCGCAAAGAGCTGATGTCGGATTTATGACAAATCGGCCAACACTAATTTTCGTTGTTCGTGCTAATCTGGCAATACAGTCAGTGGTAAATAAAGTTGCCGACCAAATTATGGCTCTTGCTGAAGAATTGGCATTTGATTCCAGTTACTTGCAGCATTTTGCTCTTCTTGCTTTCAGGAAAGACGGTAAATTGTTAGCCACTGGCTTATTTTTTTCCAAACTGTAGTAAAATTGACTTGTTTCGGAACAACTTTTTTCTATCTGGTATTGTTATTGATTTGTCAAAACTGAAACAGTTCTGTTACGGAATTTATTAGTAAAACTCTACAGATTCTATTCTCTTTTATTATAAAATTTGACCTATTTCCAGGGAAATAAAATAGTTGAATTTAAAGATATTTTTTGTTGGAATTAATGTGAGCTTTTAATAGTTTTTACAAGAGCAATGTTAGGGATTTACTGATGATGATGAAGATGATGATAGTGTAGACATAAAACGTCGTATGTTCTGTTATTTATCAAACAGCATTAAACTTCTCAAATGTATTTTCAGTGAGATTAAACTGCGAGAAGAAATCTATAGTTTAAACAATATTCTAAAGGTTTCCTGTTCATTACTGGTTTTAGAACTGCTACCTGGTTTTAACAATATGTATACGACAGCTGAGGAGATGGTCACTGCACTGAAAAACATACAATTTCAAAACAGCACACACTGCGAGGATTCTGTACTAACTGCAATTGCTGAAGCCATAAACTCACTGGCTTTAACTAACCGCTCTCCAGTTTACGTTATTACAGATGCTGTACCTGACGACGAGCAAGAGGCTGAAACTATATTCCACATAAACACATACAGAGGATCACCGGTTGGCTTTCGTTTTAAATGACATTAAAAATTAATGTTGCCCAGTGGAAACCTGATTTTTAGGTGGTAAGATGGAACTTATACTAAGAGTCGCTAAGATAATAATTGAGGTATTGCTTAACAGAAATGTATTGGCATCTTAAAAATACATCCTAAATTTAGATTTATGTCATATATCTTGAGCCACCAGAATCAAGCGGTTGTACAATGGACGTTTACCATGCGGGATATCAAGCACTGGTCGACATTACCCAACGGACATCTGGTCATGTATTTATAGTACCAAACACCCAAACATCTAAAGCAAGCATGGTAGAAAACTTGATTTATAAACAGCAGTTATTTATTTCACCTGCGAATGTCCTCACTAAACCAGTTTTCAAATTTTAGCTCTTCTTCGCTCATGCTCGACACACCATTTATAGATCCAGCCTTATACATAGTACCGATTCAGAACACTGTGGAAAACGTCCAGAGTTTGTTCCAATACGAATTGATCGAAACATTAAGACGATTGTGATAACTGCTACTGGAAGTATGCCTTAAGTGCATAATAGTTGTTTGCTTTGAATTTAAGCTTCTTTCTAAACATCAACACTTTTAGAGAACACATATTTGAGTATATCACCTCCTGACAACAGTGGACTTCCATCTAATAATCCTAGCTTTGAGCTCAACGATGTTAAGTTCTGGTAAACTTTGAAATGTCGAAGTGCAACTGCAAAAAATCAATTTATTTTTTGACGTTTTTACTATGGTGTATGTCTGAACTGGTTCTTCATATGTTCTCTTGTTCTCCAACTGCTTTTTCTGAATAAGGTATTACGACAATTTAACGACCGGAATATGGGGGATATCTTTGAGAAATAACGAAGAAAACGCCAGTCCATGCAGCGCTCGAATATATTCGACACGCATTGTATCGCAAGAAAAAACTGAATATGATCTTTTCTGGGCTTTTACAAACAGCATCAATGAAGATGGCCCATTCAAACAACCAGTTGCTTGTAAGCTTTGCAAAAGGATATTAGGAAGACCAAATTTTGCACTGATAAACCGGCTGGCTAGCTGCATCATCTTAGAGGATTATATGCACTTTGAAGGAAAAGTTGAATGCTAAACATTCTGGGATACTGCAGCTGAATTGAAAGTACAAATCCAAAAAACTTTCTGCGTTAGATGTCACAACTATTCGGGCACTGCATCGGGAAAATAATTGTCTTTATCTTTTTAAGCACTGTATTTGCAGCTTCATTATCCTCTTTGGTTGCTCATGTCAACAATTACGTGGTCCGTGATCCTGGAAAAGTCTTTGCTGAACTCGTAATGTATCGGGAAATTAGTGACGGAACACAAGAACAAGTTTATCTCAGGTTTTGTATAAGTTTGAACATCTGGGCATTTGATTTGTTCCTAGAAAGATTTTTAATTTTTTATATGATTTTTTGATTATTTTAAAGCATTTATTTAAAAATTTGGTTTCTTTTAACGTTATTATTTTGAAGAAAATTTATGGTCATTTTATTTGCAAAGTATGAGGAAGAATGATCGTTTTGTTTTGTAGCAATGGTCTCTGGCGTAATGAATGTGACTACCAATTATACTTCCCGGCAATAATTTGCCATGTGCCCAATGAAAAACTGTATTTTTCGGTGAACAATATAATTGCTTTCTAATCATATTTTATCTGCACTTCTCAACTAACTGTCTTTAGATGTTCATCTGTTTAGGTATTTATTCGAGACGAACTAGGCTTCAGTTTTCAACGAAGTGGTGTCAGTTATTGTTCTGTAGGTTTGTTTTTAAAATTTACTATTTTCTAAAAGATATTTGAAATCAACATTGTTTTATTATTTTATTATGGTGTTGAACCAAAAAAAGAAATTTTTCAAGACTTAACGAGAGTAAGTTAATGAAAATTGTGGCACTCCAAGGAACAATTTTTTCAAAATCACTTTTAATAAGCTTAATTTTTCTAAATTTTAAAAATTTGTTGTTGTCCAAATGAATCACTACAGCTATCGTTCTTGTAGTTTTCAAAAAGAAATTATTTCTCATTTCTAAAAAACTTGCAAAAAGAAGTCTTGCTGTAATAAAGTTAAGACTATTTGTTACATGATCACAAATTCTCAAAGAATTATTTGGTGATCTTAGTCTCAATGCAAAAATTACAGAAAACTTTTAGTTAGCATTAGTGATAACAACGAGTTTTTCCAAATATAATAATCATTTGAGAGCGTGAACGCCAATTTAAAAGATTTCAAAAGCTGATTTTCAAAACAATTAAAACAAAAAAAAAACCTGAATATTTAACAGCACATCCAACAATGGCTCCACCAAGTGACTGTGCAAACGGCGGAGTAGCACTGTCAACACCTGGCGGTAGCAGTTTTTGTTATTGTACTGCTGACTGGTCCGGCGATAAATGTGAAAAGCCTGTATGTCATAACGGCGGTACACTACGGCAGTCTGGTGGTGGGTCGTGGTGCGAATGTGTTGCCGGACACACTGGCTCTCATTGTGAAGTTGGTAAGTATTAACGTTATAAAGTTTTTCCTTAAAACTGTTACTTCTTTATACAACAGTGTTTCAGTATTTTGTACGGACACTGGTGAAGAGGTGGAACAAACACCATTAAACATCGATATGGCGTTCGTTGTAGAAATAACCCAAAATTCAATGCATGCACTGCGCGACCTTGTGAACCATATAGGAGTAATTGTAAGAGACGCAGCTATGCATCATCCAGAATGGATTGCCAACTTCTTATATGCATACTACGACTCTAACGGTAGGCACAGTAGAATTCTTCATGAGTAGCTTGGTCAAAACTCTTTTTGATTCGTTTTTTATTCCCGTTTTAGTGTTTGAAATGTTTTTGCTTTTACTCTTACTCCTGTTTTAACACCGACATAGGGCGACTTCTTTAATTGTTTCTTTTCAATGAATAATTAAGGAAAATAACTGATACATTAGATAAAAACAGTTTTATCAAACCATCACTTTTTGTTTACTACTTTAATACGTCATTTAAAAACCAGAATAGTTTAAACTATATTTGTAATTTTGTAGAGGCACAATCAAATGCAAAGAAATGATAAGCTAAAACTGCAAAATAACATTATTTTTCTATATTCAACAACGAAAAATAATAAAAAATTTTGCCATTCTAAATATCAAAGTGAAATTATTCCAGTGTTTTTTGATTGCCAGAAACTTTATGGTTGTTTACTGTGTTTTTTATACCTATAGCAGGTTAATGTATTTCAGGATTTGAGGTGAAAAACGTGTATCGTAGGTATCAGGTTGACCAGTTTATCAAAGATGTCGAAAAGATGTTCAATTCAAGTATCACTGACGATGGCTGCAGTCAAGGAGTTCACTTATGGGAGGCTTTGGAAGAAACTACAAATATAGTTAGAAGCAACGCTCAAGTTATACTGATACACGTAAGCTACTATTCTTTTTCTCTTTATTTCACTTTAATTCATTTAATACTTTGTTATTCACTTCCACTTTCAATTGTATTTTATCAATAATTGAAAATAACGTTACATATGTCTGCATGAGCCAAATTGATGTATGTCTGCCGCCTAACTAGACTGATTCAGGCATCGAAGATTTCTGAAGCGACTTATTCGTATTTCGGTACTTTAAGAAATATCGATAACAAACGTATTGTCCTCAATACTTTCTACACATATCTGAACAGAAACTGGAGCTGTTCTAATGGTGATGATGATTATAACAAAGTAAATGTTGTTTGTGAAATGAATGGAGGACATGCATACCCAGTGCATCCAGGTTCATATGCTCAGGTTAGCACTTTGCATTGGGGCTTCAATGGTCAATCAGTTTCAACTTCAACTCTTTTTTAGGGGTCAGAAACAACGAAAAAGCCATTTAAGGAATTTATTTTAGCAGATTCTGCTGAGATACATCTGGCGCTTCACAAACTTGAAATAATATGCTTTATTAATTCTGTGCTACTTGTCGCTTATTACAGGCACTACGGATAATTCCAAGCCTTTTCATGTCGTCTTTGGTTTACCAGAAATATATTGACTGTGGTGCAGATTTGGCAGTCTATTTCCCTGTCGATTCGTACACGCAAACGATTCAGTTGAACGTTATCGGCTACAACAATGAAATCAAAGTTTATAGGCCAGATGGTAACCGAAAAGAAAAATAATTTTTCAAAAAAGTTTTGCTCTTCTATAATAAGGGTCATATAGTAAGCTTATATGGCTAGGTTAACATTAATATTAAACTGTTCTAGGTACTAATCCACCTGAAAATAATCAGAATGACCTCTATGAAGATGCGAATGACAGCGGTTGGAGAATTACGGAAATTCGAAGATGTAGTTATTCGCATATTCTTCGTATCTCTCGTCTACTTAGCGAACATCAATTAAATTAGTTTCTGTGCAACCTAGAATACAGATATTATAGCTTCTTCCTTTTACTTCACTTTTCTACTGCCTAATTTTTTTTTGTGGTTTAAGCCTGTGACACTCGATGGACACAAATGGGAGATCATTACTGCCTACTAATCGGGAATTCTGTTTATTCGGGTACCTGGAATGATGCAGCAGCTTTCTGTCATTCGTCTCGTGGATCACTTGTGGATTTCGTCTTAGAAGATGTTGACAGTTGGCTCAACGGTAAAAATAACTACATGAGATGACTAATATTGTTAAACATCTTCGTTTTTTGACACTTCTTGCTTTAAGACAATGCAAATGGTACAAGTATTGAAATGTGGATTGGTCTGTATAGAAAAAGTGATAATTTAGCACAGTTCTTCTGGGATGTTGCACCTAATCAGGATCCAATTAAGGTTTGAATAAAACAGTTTCTGTTACCAAAAACTAATAGTAAAAAATAAAAAAATTAAAAAATTTCTCAGTACACTTACATATTTTAGTGAAGAACAGCACTACTAAAGATATTTCAAAAAAAAATTAAAAATTTCTTGACTGCAATTATTTCGAAAAAAACTTCAATTTGTTTTCAAGTTAGTGAATCAATTGCTTTGAATCTCTTAGCAAATTAGAAATGCTCTTACAGTTTATTGCCAAATGGCTTTTTTCAATGATAAACATAACCATGCTGATTTTGAGAAAATTTACCAAAAATGCAGAAAATTTTTTGACATAAAAGTAGTTTCTCTGTCTTTATTTTTTTTTGTTTTTCAATTAAAAAAGATTCGTTTTCCACAGTTCTACTTATAATAAAAATTGTTTATTGAACATTTATTTTTTATTTTGTAGAGCTGTGAAACAGTTTAAGACGTGGCAAATATTTAAACCACTTTTTAGCTGGGTAACAACGATAAATGGGATGACAAGGAACCGTCGAATGACAAAACGAAGCTTTGTGTTTTGAGGAGAAAGAATGGAAAATGGGCTATGGAAAAGTGTGAAGTTCAACATGTATATTTCTGCCAGAAACACAAATACGATAGTGACTTTGAACCTACAGATATTTACGAAGGTTTAATGACTTCTAAAAAGCTTAAGTTCTGAACAAGTTTTGATATTTTTTTTACAACAGATGTTCTTTTTCAGACGACTTGGCGGCGGGAAAATGGTGGGTGACAGTTAAAACAAAATTACCTGAAGTTACACGCCCAAACAAGACTCGATGTATGGTGGAAGTTCATGTTCAAAGTGCTTTGCTTCTCTACGCTTCCTATACCTTAAATGAACATTCTGACATCCCGCAATATAATCCAAAAACAGGACCAGGTAAAATTATGAAAAAAAATTTTTTTAAGCGACTTTGTACCAAATATACTAAATTTTTTATCTCTTTTATTTATTTGCTCGTTCTTATTGGTATTTTTGATATATTATTAACAAATTACAGATTCAAACTACTTTATAACTCAGCTTTACGGAGACAACAATGGAGGTATATTGACTCACGCACTTATGTATGACTTCAACACTCTTCAAATGATCTCAGCAGCAACCTACCAAAAAAGGACTGACTGTCAGTACGCTTGGCTATCGCAATCGTGGAGCTGTTCTGCCGAAAACCAACAATTTAGCGTTATTGTAAGTTTCATGAATCTGTTCCATGCGGTTTCAAAACGGACTATTTTAACAATTATTTTTAGATTATTCCTTGGAAGAAAGCTGTGTGAAAAAAACGGTTAATGCATTATGCGTAATAAGTTAATTTTTAGCACGTGGGAGAGGATCAAAACGGAGTGAATTTCCAAAGGATGACTACTGGTATATGCCCTTCAAAAGGTAACGTAGTGTGCACATTTAATTTTACTGAAGATTTTGTCAATCAGATCTGTATCTTTTTTAAATTGCTTTTGCATATAAAGTAAAAAACTTAGGTGTCATTAATTGAATTAAAACTGTAATTAAATATAATTAGCTGTGTATTGTACTCATGGGATACCTATAAATGGTATATGCGTTTGTGACGATTATTGGAAGGGCAATCTATGCGACCAACCAGTGTGCGTTAATGGCGGTACGGCTACTCCTGACTCTAATTGCATTTGTGCTGAAGGCTTCAGCGGCGAAAATTGTCAGTATGGTACGTTACTGGTAGATATTGAAAAAACTTAATAAAAAATTTTTTGTGTTTAAACGTTTTCTGATGTTGATAAATTTTTTTTATAATATTTTTATACAGTAATAATTTCGTGTAAATTTGTTGTCGTTAGCTTTTACTTGTGACGGAAAAAAACAAAATCGAACTTAAAATTGATTAATTCTTATAATTTTTTTGCAGTTTTCTCGTGTTGTTTTCTGAAAGAAATAAATTAATACTTAAATTTTTTTTCAAAATCAAAACAATTATTGATCAAAAAATTCAAAAAGGAACATTTTTTATTTTTCAAAAAGATAATACTTTTATATTAAGCTAAAATAATAAATTTTTTAGAGGTATGCCTGCCAGAAATCCCGCAAACGTTTACATTAGAGGATAAAACTCTTGGATTTGTTTTCGAGTTGACCGGGCCAAACAAGAAGGCACTGCAGATACTGGCTGACAATTTTGAAGATCTCGCTAAAAATATTTCCAACTTATGCTCGAAGTGGTTTACCAATTATGTTGCCTATGGCATAAACGGTCAGTTTTGAATGTATTGCCTCAATTCCCGACTAACTTCTGCAGTTTTACAACTTTTTGCTGAATATCAACTCTTCTTCTGATTTCTCTTCTACACTGGGGTTGCTAACAACAGGTTTTGCCGCTTTCAGGCACATATATAGTAGCCAAGATCGGTCCTGGCGATGCAAAGTCATTTGCGGATGATCTAAAAAAACAGATTGATAAGATTAATGACGACAGTGATACCACCTGTGGAGCTCCATTATTTGGCGGCCTTTCTGTTCTTCTCTCAGATCCTAACTTTAAAAGTGGTTCTATTGCTATCGTGTTTACGCGAAGTACTGCTAATGATTCAGCTGCAAATAATGCAACCTTCTTAAAAAACCTTACAACTAAAAGAGCTCAAGTACAGTTCCATTTCTTTCTTTGTCGCAATATTTGCATGAAATTATCCAATGTTGCTCGGAGGACATTCTTTTTCGTGCATTACAATGTGATAGCTACTATCGAAATTTCCGGGCTTTCCTTTTTTTTAGATCTACTATATGGTAATCGATGATAATGAAAAAGTTTGCGGAAAATTTGTAAATGATTCAGAGGTGATGGCGTTTTCAAAATATGCGTTATTGACTGGAGGGAATTCATTTGTCCTTCCAACAACAGGCTTTTTGAAAGTTGGTTTAATTTAAACGTTGGTGATTTGGAGTTTGAATGTAACAGACTGCAGAAGCTTTTTATTTTGAAAAATGTTTGAGTTTTCAAGACAAGTTAAGTTAAAAAATATTACAAATAAAATTTTCATGTGTGAAATGAATGTTTTATACTTTGCTTCGTACTGTAAGGTACAAAACGAATGGATACCGAGAACTTTCTTGACTTTATGTAACAGCAAAAACGTAATTTTTTATAGTTCCTCTCTGCTTACTTACCAACGTTACATTTCGCTTCTCTTATAAACACACCGACATTCACCAGTATGACTTGCAACAAGTCGCAGTGGTTTATTCAAGTTGATAACCAAATGGATTACGTTTATATAACTAGTTTTTCTTCAAAACATAGGTCTACTGTTATCGATCCGCAAGGTAAGTTCTTCAGTCATCACAGTACCGACAAGAATTTTTCTTAAAATGTTAGCAGATATATGTGATGTTGGTTTAAATTTTTTTAAAATGTTTTTTACCGCTTGTATGAAATATGTCTGTGAATTTTTTAGGTAATAGCGTAAATTTGTTTGATACTTTTTATGCGGAGAAGAGCATCAGCTTGGTTGGTTTTGACACCGAGCGGAAGCCAGGTATGTATACGGTCAAAATGGATGCAGAAGGTTCATGTAGTCTTCAGCTTAGGGGTAAAAGTGCAATTAATGTGTGGGCAGGTTTCACACAGCCTGAAGATGGCGACAGTGGAAGTCATATAGATTCAGTTCA